GCGCCCGGGCTGGCCCCTCCCGCTCCTGGGCGGCCTCTGGAAAGAAGTCCTGTCCTCCGAGGACAGCCGCATGCATTACCCCACAGGGTGGGGACGCGGGATGACCGTCCAGACGCAGCCGCGGCTCTATCTCTGGGCTCACGGGGAAGTGCGGCCCCGGCAGCAATCCTGGAAGGCCCGCAGGAGGAGGCCACGTCAGTGTGGCTGGGACTTCTGACCCACACTTGGAGACTTTGGCAGAAGGTGCACCGAGCGTCTTCTCCGAAACGGGGACGGCTTCTCTGGAGGCGCGCTGCTGTCCCCGGAAACCCCGCGCCCTTCTCTCCTGGCCCTTGTTCTGCTGCTGCCTCTGCCACTGACTCACCTGAGAAGACAGTCTGATGAAGCAAGGGGGCTTTTCTTTTTTTTTTAATGTTTAATATAACCTGACAGATAAAATGGATTGTAATGAATAAATTGTCCGAACCCTATTTGTATTTCTTTGTTTGAAATGAAAACATGGCCTCGAATACGTTTTTTCAAGAGAAAGGAGAGAGGCTCTGGTGAGGAATTCTCACTACTTGTGGCTTTGATGGGGGGGTGGAGAGCCAAGCCCCTGCCTGAAAGCCTCGGGGTGCTCCGGGCGCCCTCTGTGCACGGGGGGGGGGGGGCCTTGCACTTGTGCACGGTGGTTCCACCGAGACGACGTGGGAACGTGCCGTGGGACCAGAGAAACGGTTGTGCTCTGGATGCTGTTCTTCCACAGCTGTGTCTGCGATGGTGCAGGCCGCCCTTCGGGGGTTTGCAGGGCGGGAGCTCTGGCCTGAAGCTTGACCAGCCGCCCGGGGTCTTTCTGAGATGGGAATGAGATCTACATGCTCACGAACTAATAAGACTTGGTTCTCAAAGGCCGTTTTCCTCAATGTGATCGAACAGCGTTGATTTTCTTACTTCCCGGTGGGTCCACACTTGCACGTTGCTGCACACGCAGCTAACGCGTAGGAGCCGGCTCCTCCTCAGAGGCAGCGTGGGTGCATGTGCCGCGTGCAAGCCTCCCTCGGCGGTGGGCGTCCCCGTGGTCTGTCTCCGATGAGAGTCCCTCCGTAAGTAACAGTTGTGAAGTGGAAACAGTTTGGAGAGTCCGAGGTTTCTCGCCACGCTGCCCCCCTCGGGTGAGCATCAGAAGATGGGGAAGGGTCTGGCCCCCAGAGGGACTGGGTGGCCGAGGACCCACTAGAAGCCTGTCATTGGCGGCCGGCGGTCACAGGGAGTGGAAGGAGAAATCATGATTTCCTAGTACGTTAGAGCTACAGTATTTTAGCGAATTGCCATTAATTAACTTTGTATCTCAAACATTTTTTAAGAAACTTTTGACTTGGGAGAAATATAAAGTTTAGATTTTAGCTCAGAAGGCAAGGCCTGAGAACACGGTCTGCTGAAATGTATTTTACGTCACGCCTCTGTGCTGTGTTGGGGCCTTGTCGGCCTGTCCCCGGAAGGCACTTTCCCGACGGTCAGGCGGATGAAGTGGTGACGGCAGTGCGGTCAGGACCCTGCCAGCTGTATTTGGCCGCTCCCCGCTGAGCCGAGGACGTTGTTGTGGGCGGCAAATAAACGGCACACAGCGTGTTGCCAGCAGGTAAAAACGCGATGAATTCCCAGGGGCGTGGGGATGTCCCCGCCCAGTTAAAGTTAAAGGGTTCTCTTTGCCTTTCTCCCCCCACCCCAGCAGCGGGGGCTGCACGTCAGCAGGGGCAGGGTGGGTGCTGGGGAGTGGGCGCAGAGAGGGTCTCTCTTCCCCACCGTCCCCGGAGGCCCTTACGCCCTTTCCGCTCTGCCTGTCGGAGAGCTTGCGGAAGCCTTCTTCTGCAGGTGGCGCGTGATGCCTGCTGGTTACAAATATTAGAAGGATGTGGGAGTGTATTATCGTAAACCCTGGAGATGACCCTTTTCCTTCCTCTTAACAGTTTGAGTGCGTCTTGTCTTCTCAGAAAACACAAGTAATTTCTGTTGTGAAAGATTCCAAGAGCACGCAGGTACCAAAGGAGCAGGAGTAACACAGCTCTGTCCCTAAACGCACACCTGCACCGCCCGGCCCGAGAAGACCACCCTTCGTGGTTCAGTGCTGTCCTGTCGGTGCCACTGATCTGGGCCGCCCGTCCCACGGACACGGACTTCTCGTGGGCGGGGCAGCACTCAGGTGCTAGCCGTTTGTGCGTCACACACACAGCCCTTTCCTTTTCTTCCCACAAGATGGGACTGTCGTCTGTGCGATGTTCTAAGACTTGCACCTTCGAAATCATGGCAAGCCTGGGGTGTCTCTCCTCGTCAGCACCCACCAGCCAGCTCAGTCTCCAAGCGCCACGTGGCTTGAAGTGCCGCGTGCCACGATGTGGATGTATGTGGGTCACTCCTGCGCTTACCTGGTGAGGAGGAGGAGGAGACAGAGCTTAGGCCAGCCGCCTCCTCCCTGCCGGCATTTAGATAGCTGGCAGGTTTTTACCAGCAAGAGTCCCGTACGTCCTCGCACGTACATTTCTCCGTGCGGATGCAACTTTTCCTGTGGGATGGACACGTGCGAGTCAAAGGCTTGTACGTTTGAAACCTGCACGTGCTAGCGAACGGCTTTCTGAAAAAGCTTCCTTATTTACACGCCTGCCAACAATAAACCGATGCCCTGTGGAACACATGCTGATCTGTTCATCTTTTACATTTCTTTCCGCTCTGCTGGATGAAGACAAACGCAGAGGCAGATAGATGGTTCTCGTTGTAATCTGTGTTTCCACGATCCATCCAGAGCGTGAAGCTCTCTCCCCAATCCTCCATCATACCCGCCGCTTCTGCGGGTTGCACGTTTGTATCCTTTGCCTGTTTGCGTGTTCCTTGTTTCATCTTCACTGGTCCGAGCAGAAGCTCACACACACGCGCCCTCCAAACATCCTGTCACGTGCGCGGTGCCCACTGTGTTCTCGAGTTGCTTGTCATTGGTGTGTGCCTTATCAGATTTATGTAATTTTTATCTTATTGTATTTCTCTTTAAGTCTTCTAAGTTTTGTGAATTAAGAGGCCTTTCTTGCACCAAAATAAATAAAAACCTTTTATTCTGTTTTTATGTTTAGTTTTAAAATCTATCTAGGGGTGCCTGGGTGGCTCAGTCAGTTGGGTGTCCGACTTCGGCTCTGGTCATGACCTCGTGGCTCGTGAGTTCGAGCCCCATGTTGGGCTCAGAGCCTGGAGCCTGCTTCGGATTCTGTGTCTCCCTCTCTCTCTGCCTCTCCCCCCACTCACGCTCTCTCTCTCTCAAAAATAAATAAACATTAGAAAAAAAGAAAAATATATCTAGATTTCTTTTGTACATAGAATCTCAGCAATATTGAATGGCTAGTTAGATTTTACAGTATCGCGTACTGAATCGTTCATTCTTCACGGAGTTAAAATGCCACCTTCGTTATAATTATATATGCGGGTCTATTTCTGGACTTTCTCTGTTGATTTGTTTTTCTCATCCTCCCTAATACCATCCTGTAATTACCATAGATTTATAGCATATTTAATATCTGCCAGTGCGAGTCCCTACTCATCATTCTTCCTTTAAAAATGGTGGGGTTTTTTTTTTTTTTTTTGCGCTATTCTTGTGCATTTCTCTTCTGCACTAACTTTAGAACCAGCTTGTCAAATTCCATCAAGGAACACTCCCGCTGGTGTTTTGGTCGGGCATGCACTCACTGCATAGATTCATTAGGGAAGCACTGACATCGTAGCATCCTCCGGTGAGAGTATTTAGAGACAGCGTTTCCCGCGTTCTCTCACGTAGTGCAGTGACGACCGGCAGGCCAGCAGAGGAGGGCGGGGTGGCGAGGCGACGTGGCACAGGATGTGTGTGCCCCTCCCGGGGTACAGGTGTCTGCTCCCTCGCGCGCACGCACCCGTGTCCCCGGACGTGGCCTCATCCTGCGATCGACGGATCTGGTGCTGCGCTGTGTGCGTCGAGAGAGCCTCCGCCAGCCACCCTCGTGACAGACTTCCCTCGGGCCTCTTTGGTTTTCTGTCCTCCGTCCTGTTTTCCTGTTGCGTTTAAACAATCCTCTTGGCGCTGCCAGAGGCTCCACTGTTTGTGGCTCCACTGTAGGAAACACGGCCGCCTTCACTGTCAGCGTGCAGAGTTGATTCCTGCCGGCGTCACCACTCACCTGTCCGTGCCGAGGAAGGGCGAATAGGCGAAGGTGTTCCGTGCAGAAGAATTGCTTAAACGGGTTGCCTTTGAGTGAGACTTGTGACCGTCTCTCTAAAGACGAGGAACGTCCTTGTCTGCGTTTACCAGTAATCACTGGAGTGTTTTCGAGTACCGAGCGGTACAGGCTGTCCAGAAAAATATTGCTCTTAGCGGATTCATGTTAATAAATTACTGTTGTGTGATTTTGCAAAATCAGAGGGCCGAATCCACTCGTATCCCCTCAGTGTGATTTTTTAAATCATCTGGAGGTTTAAGCGCTTACGGGTGTCTCTGAAGTAGAAGGTGCCGTGGGGAAAACACGCACATCGGAGGGGCCTCGGCAGCTCCCCAGAGCTCATCCCCCTGACAGGCGGGGCGCGCAGCAGTTCCATAAGCACACCCGGAAGCCACAGAGGCCACTGGTGTGCACGCACATCCTTTGAGTTTGCAAGAGGAGGCTGCGGTTTGGGTCCCGGGGGTGGGAGCAGAAGGTAAACGCTGGAGCCGGTGTGGTAGGACACGTGCAGGGGAGTCCCGCTGCGGGGAGGGGCTCGCGTTCCCAGGACACGGCCAGCCGCTGGCACCTGCAGGGGAGCTCCGGGGCGGGGCCCTAGACCGTGCCGGCCGCCCCGCACTCGCGCCCCCGGGCAGGTGGCGGGCGGCTGTTCCTTGCAGCGTGTGGAAGCAGCCGCTCGAGACCGCCCCGACCGCCAGGCCCCACGTGTCCCCCTTCCTCGTGGCGCGGGTGTGGGTTGGCGGTCCAGCCCAGGAGGCCTGACTCCCACGCGCCCCGTGTTTTGTTTTCCAGAACTACACGCAGTACATCCCTCTGTCTATCTATGACCTGCAGACGTGGATGGGCAGCCCGTCAATATTCGTCTACGACTGCTCCAACGCCGGCTTGATCGTCAAGTCCTTCAAACAGTTCGCCCTGCAGAGGGAGCAGGAGCTGGAGGTGAGGCCCTCGCGCCCCTGACGGGTGTCCGCTGCAGGCCGGGGCGCCTGTGGGGGTGGGGGCTGGACTCTCCGCAGGGCTCCCCTCGTTCTCCCACTGGGAGGGCTGTCCCAACGCTCCGGGCAACGTGGGACATTCGATGACGGAGCTCGGGAGGTACTCGGCACAAACTTACGGGCGTATTTTTAACATCTCGTTTTACTTGGTGTCATTAAAAAATTTTTTTTTAATGTTTATTTTATTTTTGAGAGAGAGACAGAGACAGAGTGAGCAGGGGAGGGGCAGAGAGAGGGGGAGACACAGAGTCCAAAGCAGGCTCCAGGCCCCGAGCTGTCAGTACAGAGCCGGATGCAGGGCTCGAACTCACGAATCGTGAGGTCATGAGCTGAGCCGAAGTCGGACGGACGCTCAACCGACTGAGCCACCCAGGCGCCCTGCTTAGTGTCATTTCGAATGTGACCATTAGTTAAGTGCTGACATTACTAGAGCTGGTTTGTGCTCCAGTGGCCTCTGCCTCTGGGATAAATGTTAAAATAAAGCAGATTTTAGGAGAAACGGCCCCATATCTGGGCATAGCCATCAGTTCTACATCTTTGTTATTGTCCCTGTTGTGTGTGTGTGTGTGTGTGTGTGTGTGTGTGTGCATGTTTGTGCATGCACAGTTGTGGTTGCATGTGTGC